TTGGATGTCCGGGCATCCAGTTGAGAGGGCCAGGTGTCTGGGCGTCTGGTTGAGAGGTTTCCAACTGCCCTGGCCGGGATTCCCGTGGCTGGTATTGGCCGACAAGGGCAGAGTCCTGGCCAGCTTGCATCCCTGGGGGATCAGGGTGGGGGCTGGGGCTGTGTTCGGGAGCCTGAGGGGAAGAGGCTGGGACTGTGCTGGAGGGTACCACAACAATTCTGAGGATACAACAGTTAGCAAAGCAAATGCAAGCTCAGCCATCCCATTAATTTAAGTTCAGGTGAAACTGTTTGGTAAAATACTAAATTTTACTTGTTTTTTTTGAATGTGTATTATGTTTCTAATATTTTTGGAACACCTGTGAGATTCCCAGGCCCAGAGTGCGTCCCCCAGACCCTGACTCCCAGGCCCTGACTCCCAGCCCCTGAGTGTGACTCTCAGGCCCCTGAGTGAGTGTGCCCCCTAGATCCCTGACTGTGAGACTCCCAGCTCCTGTAGCCCCTGAGTGTGACTCTCAGGCTCTCCAGCCCCTGAGTGTGACTCCTCCAGTCTCTGAGTGTGGGGTTTAAGTCGGGGGGGGAGGGGTTTGGAGATGAGTGTCTTTCCCCCACCACAACCCAAATAAATGTAGTGTTGTTATTTTATTATTAATGTATTTTCAGTTTTTCTATGGAATAACTACTATGAATATATAAACAGGAGGGGCACAATTTCATATTCTTGCCTCAGGCACACAATTAGCTAGTTATGCCTCCCCCTCCCCCGTTTTTGAATTGCCTTGGGTCACCAAGTCTTCCCGAATTGCCAAAATGGGTCCCCATCTGGAAAAGGTTGGGAACCGCTGATAGAGATAGTATCATGAGCTTCCGTAGACACAACCCACTTTTTCAGATGACAAATGTGGAGCAACAGGCACAGAGGTTGAATTATGAAGCACAAAAAGAAGGTAGGAAAGGAGGAGAAAAAACACACAACCCCCACAGTCAGTTAAAGTGTCAGTGGTAAATGAGGCTAATAGAGTAGGCTGTGAGTGCCCAGTACTTAGCTTTTGATGTCATTTGGACTTTGAATAAAACAGCCCATCCAGTTCATGTCTTTGTTCAAGTTATGCGAGATAGGATCAAATTTGCATATGAAGGCATTCTATAGACTCTCTCTAGTAATTGATTCCTGAAATTGCTTTGTAAGAGAATAACCACCTTTAAATCCATTAATGAATGCCAGGGCAAGTTAAAATGTTCCCCAACAGGTTTCTGTGTGTTACCATTTTGAACATTTGATTTGTGTCCATTCATCATGGGTCATAGAGACTTGGACAGTATAGGTGGCAGAGGAGCATTGCTGGCACTTGATGGCATATATCATGTTAGTGGATGTGCAGTTGTATGCAGGAGCGGCCTGAGGCCAGCTGCAGCAGCTGGCGCCCTAGGCGGGGCGGTGCAATCGGCCCCCCTGCCTGCACAGCCGTCAATGGCTGTGATGTCATCATCGGGCACTCGGGCCAGTGGCGCCCTAGGCAGCTGCCTAGCTCGCCTAGGCTCACTGGCCGCCCCTGGTTGTATGAGCCTCTGATGTGGTGGCTTATGTGGTTAGGTCCTGTGATGATGTTGCTTGTGTAGATTTGTGGATAGAGTTGGCACTGGGGTTTATTGCAGGGGTGGGTTCCTAGGTGAGCATGTTTGAAGTGTGTTGCGTGATTGCTGGAAAGAATTTGTTTCAGGTTAGAGGGTTGTCTGTGGGTGAGGATTAGCCTGTCCCCCAAGGCCTGTGAGAGTGAGGGATGGTTTTCCAGGATAGGTTGTGGATTGTTAATGATTCACTGGAGGGGTTTAAATTGGGGGCTATAGATGTTGACCAGTGGTGTTGTGTTATTTTGTTTGTTGGGTCTGTCTTGAAGAAGCTGATGCCTGGGTACTCATCTGGCTCTATCAGTCTGTTTTTTCACTTCCCTGGGTCGGTATTTAAGTTTTAAGAATACCTCATAGAGATCCTATAGGTGTTTGTCTGTGGGTCTGGAGCGAATACGGTTGTATATTGGGGCCTGGCTGTAAACAATTGATCGGGTAATGTGTCCTGGATGCAAGCTAGAGGCATATAGGTAAGTATAACTGCTGGTAGGTTGAAACGTGGCCATCATTGTACTGTAGTGTCAATTTCACAGGAATTTCAATAGCTTCCATCCCATCATCAACCTTAGCCTGGACTAGTCCACACAAGAGATCCACTTTCTTGGCACTATAGCTTAAGTGCTGTCCTGAGGAGGTATGGACTTTACCATGTGCTTAAGAATTTTCCTGAATTGGGGGTCATAGATCCCTACTAGCATAAAGGACCTGATCCTGAAAGCATTTACAACTGAGCCTAATGCTTATTACCATCATTTGTTCTGCGGAAGTCAGTGCAACCCCTCGTGGTACTAGCAAAATAATATTTTTTCAGGGTTTGGCCCTTACAGGCAGTCCCCGGGTTACGTACAAGATAGGGACTGTAGGTTTGTTCTTAAGTTGAATTTGTATGTAAGTCGGAACTGGTACATATTGTAGGGGAAACTCTAGCCAAACATTTCTCCAGAGCTCAGTTTTATTCTCCCACACCTCACTTCCCTCAGTCCTTTATTCTCAAGCTGAGGAGTCTGCTGAGAAAAGCCACTCCGCGTCTCCCTGGTCTGCTGGGGGGGGGGGGGGGTACGCTGCTTCGCATCTCCCTGGTCTGATGGGGGGAAGCAGCTAGTGTGGGGTTGCCTCACCCCGTTTGTAAGTAGGGATCCGATGCCTCACTTCCCTCAGTCCTTTATTCTCAAGCTGAGGTGTCTGCTGAGAAAAGCCACTCCGCGTCTCCCTGGTCTGCTGGATGGGGGGCTAGCTTTGCGTCTCCCTGGTCTGCTGGGGGGAAGCAGCTAGTGCGGGGTTGCCTCACCCCGTTTGTAAGTAGGGATCCGATGTAAGTCGGATCCATGTAACCCGGGGACTGCCTGTATTTACAACTGTGACAGTGGGCTCAGTCTTGTAAGCTTGTCTGGGTTTAGGTTGAATAAATAACCCCTTGAGGTTCTTTTGAGCTCTACTTTTCCATGATTCTACGACTGAACTGAGGTCCTAAATTTAAACTGTAAAAACAGGTGTTTTCAAAACCTAAAATAAATAGAAATATTTCAGTTTAATTATTTCTTTAAATTTATAGAATCACAGAAGTGTAGGACTGGAAGGGACCTCAAGACATCATTTAGTTCAATCCTCTCTACTCAGAACTACGTAACAACTAGACTATTTCTGATAGGCAGGGCTCGACAAATAATGCTATCTACTCGCCCATGGCGAGTAGATTGCAACCCGGAAGAGCTGGGTTCAGGCGATCTGCACATGCGCAGAACAATCTGCGCATGCGCAGATAGCCGGACAGCGTGGCTCGCGAGCGGGGCTCACTGCGGTTCGGCGAGCCCTGCTGATAGGTATTTGTCTAATCTGTTCTTAAAATCTTCCAGTGATGGAGATTCCACAACCTGTCTAGGCAATTTGTTCCATTCCTTAACTACCCTGACAGGAAGTTTTTCCTAATGTCCAACCTAAGCTTCCCTTGCTGCAGTTTAAGCCATTTTTCCTCCTCCTCCTTGTGTGTCTTTTATGTTCTTGAAAACTGTTATCATGTCCTCCCTCAGTCTTCTCTTTTCCAGACTAAACAAACCCAGTTATTTCAATCTTTCCTGTTTTCTAGACTTTTAATAATTTTTGGTTTTCTCCTTTGGATTCTCTCCAGTTTGTCCAAATCTTTCCTGAAATGTGGCATCCAGAACTGGACACAGAATTATGTCTTTTCTCTTACTTATAATACTCCTGCTAATACATTTTAAAACGGGCCGGCAACCTTTCTGAAGGGTTGTGCCAAGATTTAGCCCTCCTGCCCTGGGCTGAGCCACTCTCCTGGGAGGGGAAGGGGCTCTCTCCACAGCGTGCCCTGATTAGTCTCCTGTCCTGGGGTCTGCTCCAGCTTTTCCTGTGGGGAGGGGAGGAGGAGCGCGTGTGCACTTCCCCACAAGCCAGATCTGGCACAGAGCCTAGGGGTTTCCCAGGCCAGCCTGAACTGCCAGACTTTGGCCTTCAGTGCAAATGCATGCAGATGCCGCCTTCTTCCCCCCTCCACCATCCCCATTGGCTGCAACTGACTAGCCTGGAACATGCCTTGAAGTCATCACCCAAGTGGAGAAAGGGACAGGGCCAAACTGCTGACGTATATCTTTTCCGCTTCTGCAAGCAGAGACAACGCACACATAACGCTGTGTCACATACCCTGTGGTGTGCGAACGTGCCTAGACCCTCCTTCCCCCTTGCTTAGTCTCATGTCTGCAGGGCATGCACAATGAATGGGCTCCCGCCCCGCAGGAAGCCACCGCTGGCTCCAATCTTGTGGGAGGCACGATGCTGGATCACCTACATGAGTTCCCTATTGTGGTTGGGGGGAGTAATGGGGAGCCCGTTGATATTGTGCGTGTCACTTATGACATGGCCGCACGTTGCTGCTTCCTGTTCTAGAATGGTGTTTCTTTTTTTTTTTTTTTTTTTTGCAACTGTGTTATAATGTTGACTCCATAGTTTGTGATCCACTTTAACCCCCACATCTCTTTCTGCAGTGCTCTTTCCTAGGTATTATGTGTGATTGTTATTTCTTAAGTGGAGTACTGTGCATTTTCTTTTTTGAATTTCATCCTGTTTACTTCAGACCTTGCTGCTCCTTTGTATTCACAGGTAAGGAATTTTGTATTCTAAACTTATTTTAAACATCACCAGGTAACTTTATAATATTAGATTTTGGAGAAAATAACCAATCTGAAATTGGAAAGATTTTTTGGTAAGTGATTTGGGTTAGCCTTTGATTTAATGTTTCACTATTTCTCCCCCTCCCTCATAAAAAGATCACCTTTTCAGAGCTGTTTGTTGCAGGTGCCACAGCCAGGTAAGAATGTGTAGATATAGAGATCATTAATTTTCTTCATTTGTTTTTCTTAGATATGTTCTAATATCCAGAATAAATACAGCGTAAACCATGGGGAAGAAGAAGAAGAAAAAAGAGAATCAGGTTGGGCAGTTACAAGCTAGATCATCTTTCCCAGAAGCCTTGCTGGCATTTCAGTATGTTTCATTAATTTAAAATCTCAAGTTGTATAAAATGCTTGTCACATGTAAAACAGACAGCAAAAGGCACTTACCATAGCCAGTCAAAATATTTGCTGTTATAACATGGAGAAATGTGATGATTATAATTTATTTTTTTGTACTTTTTTGTGGTTTTTATGGATATTCTAGAAATATGCAAATTATAAACCTGTGCATATGGGAGAAAATGTTTAAAATGGGTCAAACATTTTAGTTTTTGCTCAGGTTAGGAATTAGGAATTCCTCTTGCTTGAATTTTCTCAAAGTTTTTTTAAAGTAACGTATCTATACACTTGTACAGAATGGGCCTTTTGTCTATTAATAATAAATATCAGACAAAAAAATTTGAAGTTGACATCTGATTCTGGTAATTGTAGATTTCTAAGATTGCCTAGATTTCACATAGATATGAAATCACTGAACAAGATACTCAGGGCTAGCAGTCTGGTCTGCTAGTGCAACTCGGGGTGGGGTGTGAAATAGACTGAGAAATACTTTTACAACCTCCAGATCCTCATTTTGCCAGGCACTAGTTTGGTTTCAAGAAGTAACAGAGCAGCTTCAGGGCTGCTAAAAGTTATGTCACTGTCCAAGATCCTGTGGGGCCATTCTGTCAGCTGGGAATCACATGAGTACAACGGTGCTCTCCCTATATCATCATTAGGCTACCCATCAAAAATCCCAGTGACTTAAAAATAAAAAGCAGCCTTAATAGGGTAAATATCCAGCGCACAGACATTGTTCATTGAACATAAAGGACCCAATTTTCATTTCACAACAGTGTAAATTAGAAGTTATGCCATGTAAGATCAGTAGTTATGCTGGCCCAGTGATAATGTTTTGTGAAAAGTTTCCAAGTTACCTATCTCTGAGATCGAACTGGAATCCTAGTAAGTTTAGTGTGACTTTTAAAAAAGCATTTTTAAAGTCATATTTCAGAAAGCTTATCAGGAGAAGCCAGTCTTGACATACTATGGATCCCACTACTTACTCCTTATTTTCATTAATTCAATAGGAGCAGGATCCATGCATGATATATGACAACAAAAAACCCCAAAAACAAACAAACAAAAGCTGGTGGATCCATTGGATCTTACAAATATATCTCCTGAAATAGATAATCTAGAAATGATCTCCCCAAAATCATAGACTCCATCCTTTCTTCTCCTGGATTTCTTGTCAAAGATAGATTCGGATTACTGGTTGCATAGTAGTTACTGAATCATCTTTGCTTCAATGTATTAACAAAGATCAGAAACAACAACCAAATAAAAGTCAGTGTTATTTAGTATCTTTGGTAGAACTAGCACATTGGGCAAAATTGCAGCTTTAACATTTTATGTAGCTATATATAAGCATCATTGGCCTCATTCCAGGATTTGCAAACTGAATGGAAAGATGGTTACCAAAAGATAGCATCTTTGGCCTTGCTCACACAAGGACTTTCTGTCAGGTTACTAATGGATTAGTGGCACATGTGGCTAAAGGAATTATTTATTTACATTTATCATGCTGTTACTAATTTGTTACTAACTGATGTATCTTAAGCATACAATTCCCCTACTAAAAACAATGCTCAGTTCTTATAACTGGTTGGGAGCACATATTTTGTTGCCCCAACTGTATCTTTCTAACTAAGTTGAGTCCTCCCTCTTTCAATAGCTACATAATCAGATACATCACAGATTCATGTCAGAATGTAAAATCCCTGGTTATTATAAATAACACCTTCTAATGGCACAAAATCCATCAAGACCCATAGCCGATTAAGGGCCCATCCACACTACAACTTTGAATTGTATCTCTAACTGGTCACTGGGAGGGTCGTTTCTGAAGACATATCTCCATAGGATTAAAGCTTAGTTACTCCGCATGAGAGTTAACAGTATTTTGTCCCTGCTGAAGGCATATCTGGCACTTGGTTCCCTTCTTGTAAACAGTTCAGCACACTATTCTATTTTTCACTGGAGATGAGCCTCCCAAACTGTATTTAAGTAACCAGTTTGACTGGCCTATATGCAGGAATTTCTGGGGGGGGGGGAGAGGTACTTTTTTATACCTCTGAATGCACCCCCCATGGCCCTCCAAGCAAGTGGGGAAATCAGCCCCAGCCTTCCCCGGCTAGTCAGAGCATGAGGGAAGAAGGCTTTGGCAGCGCAACACTCCTGCCTTCCCCTGGCTGGCTGGAGCATTCTTGCTTGGGGGATCACGAGGGATGTTTTCACACCCCTTCACACCTCTTCTGCATATGGATCTGTTTTACTTCCTGGGGAAGGCATCCCAGCCTGTCTTGCTCTCTGTGTCTGCTTGCATGTCCTTGAGGCAGTCTGTTCTTTGTTGAGGCAACAACAGGTAAGCTGAACATGTTTCTCCAGCATGCACTTGTATGGATTCAGGCAACTTCGCTGGTAGGTGTGGCCACACAAACATAGTTGTCATGATGGCAGAAAAAGCTGCTGTGTCGACACAAACTGAACAGTGTTGTTTGGAACCAGTGTTATGGTGACTGTGGTTCTAAGTTACACAGTCACGGTTAAATATTATAGTTGTGGAAATGGCCATATGGAAAGTTCTTTCATTGTAAACTATTGGCACTGGGAAAAGCTACATGTTTGATAGTCCACTGATGACTGAAAATAATGGAGGGAAAGCCCTAAAGTGAAAAAAATGTTAAAGCAGTGGAGAAGGGAGGAAAGAGGAGAACATATCAATATGTTATTGTATAATTTGATTTACTAGCTATCTGAATTTTTTTAGCTCTGTGACTTTTATCAGACTTAATTTGGAAAGAAAAAGCCCCCAGCAGCGGGCAAATATTCAATAGTTCACATGAGCATTTGAAGGATAACAAGTACTAGCTCAGGCTATGTCTACACTACAAAGTTTTTGTGCAAAAATGGCCGTTTTTGCTCAAAAAACAGCAGAGCATACAGACCTCAGGCGCATTTTGGCACAAAAAAAATAATACAGTAAATCGACAGGACAGAAGGCTTTTGCCGGTAGAGTTATTCCTCTCCCCATGAGGAGTAACTCCTTTTTGCGCTACAACTCTTGCGCAAAAAGTCATGTGTGGACGGTCTGCAGGGGTTACTTGTGCAAAAAGAGCCTATCTGAAAAAGCACGGGTGCTCTGATGGTCATTCTGTGAATGGCAATCAGAACTTTCTTGTACAAGAGTGTCTGTAGTGTGGACACTCTCTTGCGCAAAAGCACATTGCTTTTGCAATGTGCTTTTTGAGATGTGGATGTGCCTTTGAGCAAGAAGTTTTTGCAGAAGATGTCTTCTGCAAAAAACTTTTTGCATAAAAGCCCTGCAGTGTAGACAAAGCCTCAGTGTCTGGAAAAGGAACACAAAGCCAGGCAGCAGAATAGAAGCTGCTTACAGATCAAGTGTATTTTGCCAGAGTTTTCAGGATTTTGTGTAGTGTTTCTGTAGAACTGCATAAACTTTATTTAACATTTTGCAAGAAGCACACTGTGCGCTCCCATAGAGTAATCAGATTCAGCTGAGTTAAATTAGGGATGAATATGGCTCAATAAATCAACAAAGAAAATGATACATCATCCCATTGCAAAACAGCCAAACTGTGTTATTAAGCTGAGAAAAACAATAGCTTTCTTGTCATTTCACAGTTTTGGCAGTTCCAGCATCTCAACAGATGCCTCATTTGTCAGGAGAGTCTTCTGATGATATGGGAATTACAATAATTTATTTTTAATCTCTTAATACCATAGTGGAAGATTTGCATATCTTATTTTTTCCCTCAGGACCTCTGTAAATCTCTGTTAATGTTAATGACCTCTATTAATGTTTGCCTCAGTTTTCTTATTTGTACAAATTAGCAAAATAATACATATGAACCTATCTCTCAGGTATATTTTAAGGATTAATTTGGCAAGTACTAAAAAAACTTCCATGTCTGCTTTTTCTCTCTTGGTTTGAAATTTCCTACCATTACTGTTCATAGATTTTTTGCTAGTTTTTAAATCATTAATAGAATTTCCTAATGCAATGTTTGATAGTATAGGTTGAACCTTTAAACTCCAGGATTTCTGGTCTGGCAGACCACAGATATTGCTAGACTAGAGAATCCAGGCTGCCCAGTTTCAGAAGTGCAACCCATGCTAGACTGGTGGTGGGGAGTAGATCCTCAGGTGGGGAGTGAAGCCCATCCAGGGCTGGTGGCAAGAAGCGCAGCCCCAGCCGGGGCTAGAGGCAATGGGCCCAGCAGTCAGGAGCATAGCCTCAATGGGGCTGGCGCAGTGTGAAACACAGCCTTGGCCGGGGCTGGTACAGTGGGAGAGCGCAGCCCCAGCCAGGGCTGGAGGCATCAGAGCCGGCAATAAGGAGTGCAGTCCTGGCTGGGATTGGCAGTGGAGAGCACACCCCTAGCCAGGGCTGGAGTCAGCAGTGCCGGCAGCTAGGTGTGCAGCCTGGGCTGGTGCTGTGGGGGGTGCAGTACTGAACAAGGTTGGAGGTAGCGGGGCTGGCATGATAGGGAATGCAGCCTCAGCCAGGGCTGGCAGGGTGGGGGGCTGGAAGCAGCAGCAGGTGACAGGGAATGCACCCCCAGCTAGGAGCAGAGCCCTACACCTGGATAGGGAGCCTTGATCTCCCCTTGTCCAGCAAACTCTGTGGTTCATAACCACTCAGGTTCCAAGGGTGCCGGACAAGGGAGGTTTGACCTTTATCAACTCATTTGTGAACTATGGTGATGTGCCATAATGAGTTATCAAATTATTTTGGTACTGGATTTTAGTCTGATTTAAATATTGCATGTGATATTCCAGAAGAAAACAGTACCGAAGAGATTGTTAATCAAGCCTGTTCATTGGCTGTTTGAATCTGACATAATTTTGATAGTGCTTTCAGGATAATGAAAATCCCTGAGAATGTATTCTATATCTATGTGCTTTTGATACTGAAAAACCAAAACCAGAGACATTAATATCATCAGATGGCTAAACCTCAGATTCCCTTGACACTTCCTTCACCCATTATGATGAAAGTTAAGATCAGCATCGATGTTCAGAGTAGCAAAATAGACCAGAAGAATTTTGATAAAATGAACGCAATTTAAATAGCAGCAAATTAGTAAACATTGGGCAAACTACTGAACCATAATGTCTTTGATCGGTAGTACATTTTTACTGTAGCCAAAGGCTCCTCCATGTCTTCAATCTATACTTTCCTCTTAATAACCTTAAAATCGTTGAGAGAATCTAAAGAATGCCTTGGAACAGATATCCAGAATGGCATATTGATAGCAGAAGATGCAACACTGATAACTTGCAACTTACATGACTAAATCCCTGCATGATCCAAAGATCAAAATTATTGAGAAAAAAAATCTCTTTTTGACTCAATTCATGCTAATAGGAATGGGGGGAAGAATGATAATTGTTGGAACAGTAGAGGAACTAACAGTAATTGGTTACATATGCCTTTATTGGGCCCCAGGATAAGATAGTTCTAGAAAGAGGTATGAAGTAGATTAAGTATGGTTTTAGAAACTGGCATAACTAGTAACCTAATATATTTAACTAGCAGATGTTCCCGGTGTTGCTTGGGTCTTTAACTGAAGTAATTTTTTTTAAATAAATGAAAAATATACATGCTTTATTTCAATGACTGTATTTTTAAAAAATGAAGGAAAATGAAGGCTGGAGTGAGTTTCGAGGTGAGGAGGGGCAGTGGGCGGGTGGCTTAGGGCAAGGGGCTGTGGTGGGGTCTTACCAGGGCTGGCGGTGAGGGTGGTGCTGCTCCAGTGGTGACTCCTGCCAGGAGGCCAGGGCTGCACTCCCCTGCCAGCGGGTCCTTTCCCGGTTGCCTCTGGAGGTTGCCGTGCCCTCTAGCACCGCCACCTGGCCTGCAGGCTATCGGGAGGACAGGTTCTGGGGCTGCCTGTTCAAGGGCCCCCCTGCAGCCTTCAGGCTGTCTGGGGGAGACCAGGTTCCAGAAGCTGTCTCCAGCCGCCCCCACTGCAGCTAGCAGGTTGTGGGGGGCAGGTTCCTGGGGTTGTTCCTGACCTGCATCATCCCTTCCAACCTGCAACCTGCAGGATGTTGAGGTGGGGATGTAGCTCTGGGGGCTGTCTCCTGCCTTCAGAGGCACTCTTGCAGCCAGTAAGCTGTGTAGAAAGAGCACGGTTCTGGGGGCTTCCGTCCCCCTAGCACCCTCCCTCGCACAGCCTGCAGGCTGTTGGGGGAGGCCAGGCTCTGTGGGCTGCCCTCGGCCTCCAGCGACCCCCCTGCAGTCTGTAAGCTTTCTGGGGAGCAGGCTCTCCTCATCCTCCTACCCCCCAGGGCCAGCAGACTGTCTGGGAAGAGGCCGGGCTTTGGAGCGTCAGAGGCTACTGCCTCCTTCAGTTGTCTCCCCCTGCGGCCTGCAAGCTGCCTGGGGGGACCAGGTCCTAGAGGCTGCTGCCCCCTCCAGGCTGTCTGAGGGGGGCAAGATTCCTAGGGCTGCCTCTGGCTTGCAGCACCCCCCCCCCTCCCCATGGCTTGCAGGCTGTTGAAGTGGGGGCAAGGTTCTGCAGGCTGCCCTGGCCTCAGTAGCCCCCCTGTGGCCTGCGAGTTGTGTGGGAGGGACGAGGTTCTAGGGGATGCCCTCCTCTCCAGCAGCTCCCCCTCTTGTGGCCTACAGACTGACTGGTGGGGACCGGGCTCCAGCCGCTGCTCCTGGCCTCCCACGCCTCCACCAGCCTCTCCATAGCCTGCAGGTTGTTTGGGAGGAGCAGGCTTGAGAGGCTGCCCTTCCCAGCAGCCCTCCCTGCAGCCTGCAGGATGTTTGGGGAGGTCAGGGCTCTGAAGGCTGACCCCGGCCTCCAGCATCTTCCCCTTGTGGCCTGCATGTTTTCTGGGAGATGAGGTTCTTGGGGCCTGCCCCTGAACTCCAGCAGCTCCCCTGTGACCTGCACTGTTCACACTAGACACATTTTCCTTTTTTACCAAGGAGACAAATTTCTTCAAAATATTCCCAGGTAGGGTGTCTCGTGACAGTTTTTCTGTGGGAAAAGTGTGGGGGAATATAGGAAGTCGTGTGTGTGCTGAATAATGTCTTCCGTTTTCTTGCCAGTTTACTGTATTGTTCCTTTCTATGCTGCCCCCGTCCTTTCTTATATATTATCTCTGTCTTAAGACAATATCTTAACTAACTCCACTGCTGTGCTTGACCTATGACCACTACCACATAGGCACAGAACAAAAACAATCCCATCCAGCATGTTTGTTTCTTTGCACATGTTACTTTTTAGTCTGTGGAGAAACAGATATTGAAAGTCCAGAACTTTCAGGAAGCAAGAGTTAGAACTTAGGCTGGACAGACTAGAGCAGGCCTGGGCAAAATACAGCCTGTGGGTTGGATCTGACCTGCCAAGCCACCAGATCTGGCCCGTGGAGGCAGTGGGGAGCCCCACGCAGGCTCCCCGGCTTACCCGCAGCCTTGCATGCCACTCAGAAACGCGGCTGCAGGGTGTTTTCTCTTTAAAAACCGGAAGGGAGGAGGGATGATTCAGTCGTTGCTCCCACACCCAGCACAATCCCATTGGCTGATTTCTGGTCAGAAACAGGCCAATGGAAGCTGCCTGTTTGAATAACAGGAAGCCTTTCCACACTGTTGTGGAAGCAGCCTTTCTGCAATACAATTATTAAGGGCCAGTTCCCTTTTTTTGCTGTAACAAGTTGTATGCATATGTGTGTGCACGTGCATATATTTGTGTGTTTCAGTATAGCCCACTAGCAGGGAATGCATAGTGGAAGCCAAATCTCCAGATATTTCTGTAGGGAGCAAACTCCAACCTCTGTCAGGACAATTTAGTGGAATCTGTGACTAGAGACCCATGGAATTTCCACCTCTCATTCAAAATTGTGCATTGAAGAGGCATTGGTTGACCTATCAGGGAGACAGCATGGTCCTGGAAACAGGGCAGCTGACAAAGTGGAGAGATCTGAGTTCTACTCTTGACTATGTTATTGGCTCACTGTGTGATGCTGTGCAAAGTTACTTAACTGCTTTGAGGCTTAGTTTCTCCATGTATAATATGGCAATAGCAATGCTCACTCACCTTAGCAAAGCAATTTGAGATCCATAGGCAAAAAGCATAACTAGTATTTGCATCTAAAAATAACTACTCCTTCCCTCTCTCTTCCATAGATGTATTATGACTCTTTCTTTATATGCTTCTTTCTCTTCAGAATTCAGTTAAAAGAAGAGGCAATTAATCAGCTTCTATTTGAACTAAAGCAACTAAAAGAAAAGAATGACAAATATCATGAAAGAGTAAGTAAACATGCATCTCTTTTCCATCTCATACTCTTTACCGTATTTACCTAGTAAAACTAAATAATTTATCATTGTAAACTAAACATGCTTATTGTAACTACAGTATTAGTAGCAATTAATATTTTGCAAAGCCTATTTTGCAAACATGGTTAGTGAATTATTTTATATGCTTAAGGAGATATAATTTTGTCACCTAGATTATATGTAACTTAAAGTGCTGGTCTGTTCTAAAAGCAAGTGTAAAAATGGGTTGCGTGGGAATAACAATTTGGACTGTAGTAAACAATTCTTTGGGTGCTGAACAAAAAGAAATGGAATCAATTAGCATTACTGGCTGGGCAGGGCTAAGAGGAATAAATAGCAGTATGATCTTATTTCTGTCACTTAAGTGAGCAGATAATGATTCAGAGATTTGTTGAATAAGAAGATGCCATTTAAATAATCACTTCTGATGTAGTGGGTGTTGCACTAGTGAAAATGAGGGAGGGACTAGTTTGGCCTGTGTAACCTCAAATATAGTGAAAAATGAGAAAAAGAGCCCAGCTCAACTTTGCAGGCTCAATTTGCAACATTGCCAGGTAGCAGTCTGTCTTCCAACAGTGGCCAGTGCCAAGTGGGCCAGAGGGAATGAACAGAACAGGCAATCATTCCCTGTCTCTCATTCTCAGCATCTGGCATACAGAGGCCATGGACACCATCTGCCCCCATCCTGGCTTACAGGCATTGATGTACCTATCCTCCATGAATTTAGGTAGTTTATTTTTTTGAACCCTTGACATTTGCAACATCCTCTGGCAAGAAGTTCCACAGGTTGACTGTGCATTGTGTGAAGAAATACTCACTTTTGTTTCTCTCTCGCTATACTTGAGAGAATTTGTCTGTATACTTGAGTGAGCAAGTCTGTCTGTTCGTCCATCTGTTCAGGAATCCTCCTAAAGGGTAAGAGCAAAGACCACCAAATTTTGTATCCAGGCTTCTCTTATCATAACTTAAAGCAAGGTAAGGGTTTAGTTGTGTGGAGGAGGGAACTGAAGTTCCCCTCACCCCCAGTTCATACGAAGATGCATAAAAAGAACTCTTCCTAACCTGTAAGAAACTTTTAACCCTCCTTTTATTATATATCTTACTGTTGTTCCTCTCATAGAATGACTGTCTGAAGGCAGAACAGCTGGGACACATCAGGGATCTACTAAGCGATTTGAAAATACAGGAGAAAGAACTAGAGCAAAAGGAGACTGTAACCAGGGATGATGTAGAGGCAGCAATGAGGGAGAAATGGCAGTATGTTAGAGACCAAGAAATGCTTCTGAAAGGTGAGTAGTAAGTTAGTTATGGGATGCTGTTTCCCGTTTTTCATAGTTAGAGTTGAGTTCAATTTTGTACTAAAAGTAGTACTACCTATCTACCTGGTCTGATGTCAGGCTAGTGTCTCCCTAGGTTTACCTCAGTCAAGTTGCATCTCCCAAACTTTCAGTCTGGTTTGGTTGCTACAGTGATTTGGATCTCCAGCAAAGTCAGTAAAGAAAAATTCCACTCCTTCTCGAGGATCCACATTGAAAAAACATACAAGTTGTCTTCCATCCTCAACTAAGCTGGGCACAGACCCCTCCATCCTGAGGGCTTGTTGTCTTGTCTGATTTCAGAACTTTTCAGTATGCCTTCTGGAATCAGGTTTCAGATTTTCCTAGTCTCTGCTCAGTCTGGGTATGTCTACACTACAGAGTTTTGTCGGAAAAACAGTTGTTTTTCTGACAAAACTTGCGGAACATCCACTCTGCAATTGCGTTCTTTCGAAAGTAAATCTAAAGAATGGAGGGCTTTTTCCTCTTTCTACGAGGAAGAATGCCTTTTCCGAAAGAGCTCTTTCGGAAAAAGGTGTGTGTGGACGGGGGGAGGGCTTTTTTTTTTTTTAAAAGAAGAGGCCTCAAGGAAATAGCACAGGTGACCTGGTGGCCACTCCATACAAAGTAATCACAACTCTATAGTTCCTGTCTCTTGGTCCCCTTTCAAGCGGTAGGCATCCTGGACAAGCCTTGTAGCAGGAAGCCGGCTGTGGAGCAGCAACTCACCACTCTGCTCTCCTTGCCACAGGCCTTGCCACCCATGGCAGAGCCACAAGCCCCCCGAGACTCCTCTGGCCATTGCAGGGAGCAGTCCCAGAGGTTCCAGAATCCACCCAAGGGGACCAAGAAGCAGGCACCCTCCTGGTCCAGACTGGAGATCCTGTCCCTCCTTCAGCTGTGGGGTGAGGAGGAGACCTTGCAGGATCTCCGGTCCAAGTGCTGAAACGTGGACACTTATGGCCAGATGGCTGAGTCTCTGGCCGAGTGCGGACACCCTTCCTGGACCTTGGAACAGGTCTGGAGTAAAGTGAAGGAGCTCCGCCAGGGATATCACCTGCCTCTACTTTGACGAATGGCACCGGATCCTGGGGGGTGGGAAAATATCTTCTCCACCTGTCATTGTGGACTCCAGCCTGGAGACCCCCATCATCACCTGGCCAGAGGTCTCAGTGAAGGAGGAGAAGGAGGACCAGCGCCAACCAGAGGCGGAGGAAGAGGAGGAGACGGACATCGTGACCCTGTCCCTGGAGCCGGTGCCAGTGAGCCAGGATGTCTCCCAGGGATCTTCAGGTGAGTGGTCTCACTGTGTGTCACACACAAGGCGGGGGAGGCAGGCGCACAGGGGGCAGGAGGCGAGTGTCACTCGGGCTGGACATTGTGCTGCGGTCCGTGCCCGGTGGATGCAGCAGGCAGCTCCTGAACACAGGTGGGATCCTGCTGGCAGGCTCAGGGGAGGTCACACACATCCTGCCACAGCGGGGGAGCCACCAATGCAGGAAGCAGTCTAGCCTCAAGGGTGCAGGCACGACCCCAGACAGACTGAGGAGTGCCACACGCAGTACACGGGCATGCCTGCACATGTGAGACAGCAGTGCAAGCAGCACCTGTGTGTGAGGACCTCAGGGAGGGCCAGGCTGCTCCCAGCTTCTCTACTGCCCATGAGGGGATCCCACTGTGGCCGGACACTTCCCTTGCCTGCTTGTCCAGGCCGGGGGGCAGGAAGTGGGCAGCATGGTCCTCTGGGCACAACGGGACCCCTGTGTGGCATGGCCCACTGAGCAGGACACACATAGCCTTGCTCCCGGAACATGCCTCTCCTCTGCCCCAAGGACTGTTGGTTGCTGCTCACAGAGGAGGGCCTCAGGGACAGTGTCTGCATGGATGACTGACCACCTCTCCCTCTTTGTGTTCTCCATAGCCAGACCAGCTGGGACTGAGAGTTGAGCCACATTACCGCAGCCAGCCTCCAGAGTCTGGGGACCCAAAGACGCGCCAGGGTCCAAGAAGACCTCATGTGCCAGCACATCAGCATCCTGCGTGACATGGAGCAGACTCTGGTGCACAAGATCTGCGAGGACTTGGAGTGTGTGGAACCATGCATGGTGCCAGCGGTCCCCGGACCCACCCAACCCCAACTCCGATGAGGTCCCCGCACCCGAGGTGGCACATCAAGC